GATCCCAGGCTAGCTCATCCTTCCTTTATGAAACCCACAGCACAAGGCAATGGTGGCACCACAATTTGCTTTCCTGATGTGGTGATGCCCTCCCCAGCACAGCTGCCCCGCAGGTGGAAAATAGAGAACAAATTGCACCACCGGCACTGCAGGAGTGAATCAAGCTCATCAGTTTTAAACCAGCCTTATTCTTTAAGCAACCACCTTTGAAGTTCACCTGAGACGTGAAACTTTGCAAGTTGCCTTGTGTAATGGCAGTGTTCTGAAAAAATTACTAATGATCTGTTCTCCCTTGAAGAGCCCTCTTGTACCCCCACATTCCAGGGAGCAAGTGCCCCGTTACTCAGATTGGGGTGGTTATTGTATGATGTCACAACAGGGCAGAATTAGGGTTCTGCATGGAGTAATTTTTACTCAAAAGCTGGTCATAGAGAACAAGAAGCTGGCTACACAGATGAGCTCAGTTCTCCTCCTGAAACCCCCCTCTAACACCACATTCTATACATACATTATAAGTGTGTGCATGCACGCACCAGAGAATGTGTATAACACTATGTCCCTCTCCACCCCACCAATGTGCTGCCCCTTCCCCTTGCTCTTTGTTCCATATGACACTTAGGCCCGGACTCCCTGATTGGGGTTGTCTTTTCCCCTTCCCCAGCAGCACTTACCCATTCCCATGGAAGGCAGCAGTGGGTGTCCTTTCTATCTCCTCTCAGGTGAGGAAGATACTCTGCCTGTACATGCAACCAGCAGACAGGAAGCTAGACTATTCCCTCTTGCTCCCTCCAGTGCAGTCTGCTTTGCAGCAGGTGCTCTGATTTTCCCTCATCTGCTGCTAGAAGTTCCCCAGAAAAGGAGGCAGTCAGTATTGAAGCTGCTACAATAGCTACACACAGCCATGCTTTTGGGGCTAGGAACGGTTTCCATTTTGCTCTCTCTTTCACCATCTGGAAGTGGGGAAGGAAAACACACTGTTGTCCCTCCCATGCTGAAAGTCCAGCAGAAGGGATGTCCTGCTGCAATTAGGCCTATTGTGGGTCTACTTTGAAGTTTCTCTGTAAAATGCCATCCTAGGCTTTCATGTCTATTGACTCTAATTGATCCCTGACTGAAATTTACCACATTTAGGAAGTAAAAAGCAACTTGTTTTTACTGCACATTTAACCCTGGGGTCTCTCCTCTGCAGCAGACTGGATAGAACAGGCCAAATTAGCTCATCAGTCAGTGACACCTGTGGAACATCCCCCCCCCCCCCACACACACACACACACCTCCT